CCTGGTATGTCTGTGGGATAGGGCATAGGGGGAATATTCCCAGTGGTGCAGAATTTTGCCATAAGGGGGGCAAAGTTAACAGGCCAACCTTGCTTGTAGTATATGGTCCCCATAGTAGTTAAAAAGAAATTCTTGTTCCATTACTACTTGAATACATACAGCATTGACACATTTTATTATATAATACATTTTTTATTTTTTTTAACCTTTTGAAGTGAATCTGCAGCAATCTATGGATATTCAAGTATTTACATATTCTTGGCAAGCAGTAAATGGGCTTTAAAACGTATCTTCCATGAGCTTTGTGGCCACAAGCACAGTGAGGCAGTTCATCCTTAAACATAGCATCAAAGCATTAAAGAGCACCAGTCACATTCCAGTAAGCATTGTCTAGTACAAGTTATAAAAAGCAAGAAAACATGACTGATTTAAGTGAGTGATTCTTCCTTCTCTTCATAGTTATTTAAAAGTGCTCCCTGCTGCAATTTCTAGCCTGTATTGTGCAACATCTTTACCAGAGGTTACATTAGATGTGTCTGTAAAGTGGTAAACTCAGGCTTTAAAAATGTAGAAAAACTACATTGACTATAGCCAGGGGTGGCAAGCTGCTTCAAGTTTAAACTGCTTTCTTAGCGTGGTGATAGAAAATGAAATTAGTTTTTTCATATATACATGTGATATCTTTTTATATTATGCAAAGTTTAGGCCTCAGAATACATTGGTTGGAGCAGTAGAATTCTTCTTAAAGTGCATATTACCAAGTTGGATCCAAATCACTTATCTTTTGTGTTTTGGGGTGCTGTCCCTTCATTAGAGTTGCCAAACTATATAAGGAGAGGCTTAAAGCAGACCTGAACTGAAAAAAAAAAAACCCGACATAGGATTTTAAAGACAGAATAATTGCGTCTCTTTGCCGGTCAGCATTAATGTAGACTGAGCCATGCATACATATTGGTACCTCTCTGTGCTGTGACTTCCTGGGCGAATGTGTGGGAATGATGTAATCTTGGCCCAGCCAATCAAGAGGTTCCAGGAGGAAGGCTAGGAGAAGATGGCAGCAGCTGCGATGAGCAGGAGCCCTGACACCTTTGCGCTGGCGGGGATCGTTTGGCAGGTATGTCAGCATTAACGTGCTAGTATGTGCAGCATATGACACATTATGGCAAACTCCTGGGGCCCATTGAAAAAAAAAATCAGGTTAATTCCACTTTTAAAATGCCCTTTTGCATTGCAGGAAATGAACACGCCCAGAAGTTAGCAGCAGGCCTCCATGGAAGATTTCTCTTTAATGGAATAAGGTTCCAAAAAAGTTAGTTTTTACTCTTTGCTTTTGCAGGGAGGGTTTGTTGGTTCTTGACAAGGTCACTTTAAAACACAGCGGATAATATGCTTGGTAATAAAAACAATTTGGACAAAATCCAAATCCATGTTCCGGAGAGCTTTATTCGAATGATTTTCATATGATAGCAGCTCTCCAAAAGGAACAGAAGTGATGCCTCCTAAGTCTGTGTAAAATGCAGCAAGGTAATTTGTGCATGTGATCCCCCATGCAGTAGCAGTTATTCCATTTTAAATTTTTCTGGATTAAAACTTGTTTAAAATGGCTTCTTTGGTAAGTTTAAGAAGTTCATTATGTTTGAGACTTCCTGATATAATTTACTGAGACCTCTGTTTGCCTGTCATAAAATCACCTCCTGTTAAGGTGTGTGTTTATATGAGTAAACATGAAACAAAGGTGTGTTCTTTACAATCTTCTCTCTGATAATGTGTTCTTTGCACCTAAGAGCAATAGAAGCTGAGGCTTGGCTTTGAACTTGTATCCATGCCAAAGCTCTTTCCACCAACAATTGGGCTTTCACTTAATGGTATTGCACAGAGCGTCCCCAAACCTCCTTTTCTTGTGCCCCCTGCCAATGCTCTCTGCTCCTTCTTTTCTAGGTGCACCACCTTAGTTAGTGGCTTCTCATAGAGGGTGCACCTACGTGCTCGCGCTGAGCCGGGATGTAAGCGTCTAATAACGCACACAGCATGGCTCGGCCCCTCCCCTGCTCTCTCCTCACAGAAATTGATTGACAGCAGCATAGCCAATGGCTTGTGGGGAGAGGAAGAGGGAGCAGCACCGGATCAAGATAGGACTTGGGTAAGTATAGGGGAGTGAGGGGGCAATATAGCCAGTAGGACATTTTTTGTTACCTTAATTCAGGAAATGCATTAAGGTAAAATAATGTCCTGCCTGTAGAACCACTTTAAGAAATTGCAGACTACCAGTCCTTACAAGTGGTGGCTGCATTCTTGTCTGCGTGGCAACCATGGGTCCTTCCATAGAGTGGAGAACAGAAGTGTTATTCTCTGGATTACCAGGTCAAAAAAAAGGAAAAAACTTAATGCAGTCACAACATCTAAGGACCAGTAAGTTTATATATATATATAATTATTTTTTTTGAATACCCTTTAATTTTAACATGGAATCCTCTCATTTTATATTATTATACAGTATTTATAAAGCGCCAATAGTTCGCTCAGCGCTGTACATTACAAAAGGGGACAGAACATGTGACAGAACAATACCAATACAATGCAAAACATGAGGGGATTGAGGGCCCTGCTCTTTCGAGTTTACAATCTAGGAGGGAAGGGGATGGTGGCACAGGAGGAGATAGCTGTGGGGGATGGAGTGGTAGGAAGAGTGGAGGAGGTCGGTAAGTTAGCAGAGGTTGGGGTAAGCTTCCCTGAAGAGATGGGTTTACAGGGTGCACCTAAAGGAGAGGAGAGTAGGTGATAATCTGATGGGTTGGGGCAGGGAGTTCCAGAGGATGGGTGACACACTGGAGAAGTCCTGGAGGCGAGCATGGGAGGAGGAGACCAGGAACTAGAGAGAAGGAGGTCTTCAAGTAGTCCATTTTTGCTTCTCAGCAAAAAAGCAGTTTATTCTTTATTTGCGGTGCCTTGGTAGTCCTTACTACTTATACCAGTGCTAGAGAAATAATGGTTTCAGATATGAAAAGCAAGTACTAAGCATCCAGTCAGATATAGTATACTCATTCACAACCATGTGATATACACTGCATACAGCGTATCATTTTCTGTGTATGCACCGTTGGAGCGTCAATGACTCCAGTGTATTTATACACATTGTTGATACTGAAATGTTGGCCTTAGAAGCAGCAGCCAATAGGAAGCCTTAATGCTGTATGCATCTAAATGTTGTGCAAGCGTTACATGTGTACAGCAAATATGTAGGACCTTTCTGCCAGCAAGATGATGGGTATTTTGCGGACGTATTTAGATCTGTCTTATGTGAATGAGTCTTAAGAACAAGAAGCTCCTGCCCAGCCAGTATGTACAGAAATGTGCTTTTTCTTTGTCCACCAGAATATTCAGCAGTATGAAGATGTCTTTTACATTTTTAAATAGGTGGCAGTTTGCTGTCACTGCGACATGTTGCATTGTATATCATTTATACCAATGATCTTGTCTCCATTGTGTTTAGAACACAATACAGTCATTGATATAGAACAAAATGTCTGTTCTTAAAATGGTGCCTGCTGTTTACTTGCTGTGCCCTGTTTGCACCTTTTTGTTACAGAGAAATGCCTCTGCTCTGATTTCATTCCAACCAGGAAATCATTTTGAAAACATAGACCTCCAATCTGTTCAGATAGCATTGTTCCTGCGAGTGATAGTGAGCAGACCCGGCATTCCAGCTTAGAAACTCCACAGTTGTGTATAGCTACATAGCGTCTTCCTAGCCTCTCCAAATGTAATGTGACACTTGCTGTTCCCCTACTTGTTCAAGGCTTCTGGACTCATATATGTTGCTAGTAGCTACTAATGCTTTAGAAATATTTTAGCTGCAATGGATTGTGCTCTGAGAATGAACATAGAAAATATTGACCTTGTAAATACAGTATCTATACATTTTTTTTTTAATTCATATTTTCATTTATATTATGTTATTGTATAGTTTCCTATGTTTTTAATGTAAAGTATAGTAGCTATATACTGTAGATTTATGTGGACATATGTATGTATGTGCGTGTTTTTTTTTTTTTGTTTTTTTTTTTAATTGTGGCTAGAGTAGGGAAGAGTTTAATCTATAATTTCTCCTTCCGGTGTCCCTTTTTGCCCTATTCTGTGCATCTGCATGGAAACAAATGCAAAGCATGAGTTTATCATCTCATAAATGTATGTTTCAATAATGGTTTTATTGCAATATACAGTTACAGATGGATAATGGGTTTGTTAGCATGATGGAAGTATACATGTGTTAAGACGAGGACGAATTTCGATTAATTTATGGGCAGGCTGGTTGTACACACACTCGATCTACCAACTGACTTCTAAACAACTGGCCTGTTGGAAACCTATCTCCCGATCAGCGTCACCGGCAGCGCTGATCAGTGTATTCTGATGTAGGGGAGTCTCTCCGCCATCAGAACACAAAAGCTCAGCAGGGGTGATACGCCTGATCTACATGGAGTGTGTGAACGGCTGAATCTGGACATTTTGTTCCATTCCACCCGCTGGTTGAATGAAAAAAATGACTAATGTATAGGCTGCTTGAGGGTACTTGTGCTTCCTGGAGCTGTTTTACAGTTTGAGGAGTATAGATTTCTTGTTTTGACTTAGAGGAACTCCACTTTTGTTCATAAAAAAAAAAAAAACATTCCCCTCTGGGTGATCAGTGTTCATTGCAGGGATTTTAATCACTTGCCCTCCAGAGGTTTTACCCGCCCTTTCTGACCAAGCCACATTTTGCGATACTGTGCTGCCAAATGTGCGGTCATGCAACGCTGTACATAAATGAAATTTGTCATTTTTTTCCCCCATAAATAGAACTTTCCAAAATGTACTCTGCTACATGTCTTTGCAAAAAAAAGAATCCCAATAAGTGTTTATTAATTGGTTTATGTGAAAGTTCTTGTGTCTACAAATGGCGGTGTATGTATACTGAATTTGTTTATTCTTTTTTAATACTAGTAATGGTAGTGATCAGTGACTTATAGCGGGACTGCGGTGGGCATTCTGACACTGGGTGGGAACTGACTGCCACTGACATCCCCAGTGACACTGATACAGTGATCAGTGCTAATAAAAAAATAGCATTGACACTGTAGTTATGACACTAGACAGGAAGGGGTTAACATCGGGGCGATCAAAGGGTTAACTGTGTGCTGTTTTGTAACATGTGCTGTGTGTGTTTTACTGGGGAAACATGCTGCTGTGTATTTCTCTGCTGTGCATACACAACAGCATGTTACTGCTGGCAGGAGAGACACCTGTATTTACACACAGGTCCCTCCCCCCTGTCAGTGTTGCTCGGCAATCGCCAGGTGCCAGCGGAGAATCTCCAACCGGGACTTTGTGATTGACATCTGTAGCCATGAGTGGCGGCACAGGTAGGGCGGTGCGCACACACACCCCTACCAGGAAATGCAATCGTACATACGAAATGTAAGATTTGTATATGCAGTGCAGGTGTTCTCTTGTGGGTGGTCTACATTCAACACATAAATTTTGTGGGTGGTCATTTTTTTATTTTTTTTTAGCTTTCAGTCATACTGCATTACATGTTTGAGAAAGGAGCGCGCTGGTCTGTCGGACCTTGCACATGCTCAGAAACGCGTCGCATTTGGATGACGCCAGACACTGATGCCATTGCTTGAAATTCCACAGCGGGCCACTACAGCGTAGTACATACTGGCACTCTCATCCACCTTCAGCGCTCCCCACCATCCACTGCAGCAGACTGAGCATCCATATTATGATGAGCCTGTTATTTATCAATGAACATGTGAGTTGCCTACTTGCTTTTTAGATATTAAACTTGTATCACAGTCTACACTTAGAGGCGCTGTGTTTCTTCCTCAGTTTCTTCCACATTAGAGTCTGCTTTATTCTACCTCAGCCTGCCCTGGTATTCAGACTGTTTCATCCCCTTGTCTGTCATTGGACTCCTTGACTCTATGGACTTCTGGTCTGCAGATTCCATGCGCTTATTAACTTCTTGCACACTACTCTGTATTCAGCCTATGGGTTTGGGGAAGTCCGTCATTTTGTCATATTGAAAGTCATGGACTCTGTATACTTTGGTCATCTGGTTTACCAGGAATGTAAATGCTGTAGTGCAAGGAAAAAATAGGCAGAGAAGGAATCCTCTTGTGTGCTGTAGGGACTGCCCTGTTCCTTCCTCCATTCACCTTTTGATCGGGACTCTGTATGGAGGCAGTACAATTTCAGCCAGGATGTCACTGCATGGTGACTCATAGCAGGGAAGTGACTTCAGCCCAGTCTGCAGAAGACAAGATTGAAAGTAAACAAACCCAGGCAATTAAAGGCTTGACGTTTTTGGCACATAAGTATGAGAAAGTGATCTGTGAACTTTTTGTCCCAAGTTCTGGTTCAGATCAGTCATTTAGCTTTAGACATAACATGCATGAGCAGATATTGGTAAGGCATAAGGACACATATGTGTTTTCTAACATCTGCTCTGTGTATCAGGATAGGGCTACACGGGCAATTTTGTAAATCTCTGTGACCAAAAAACTGCTAATTCGTATTACTGCAGGAGATTGGTGATTAATAAATTTAGTTTTATGAGATTAATTTCATGGGGTATACTTGAATGTGAAAAATCACCCAAGATTTGAATAAATTAAATTAGTGATTATTCTCCTACCCCCTTATAATCCTACGAAGAAAAGATAGCAGTTTCTGCTAGGTGATCATTGCATTGTGTGATCATGGTAGATTGATCCTTCAATTGCATTGCTGTAGCAGCTCTCATTAAAAGCAGTGTGATACTAAGATTAGTCTTATGAGATTTTAATAGCACAATTGAGCAACTAAAAGGTGGCCTATGTAGCCCTAGCCTGAATGACAACTTTATTCATCTATGGACAGGATGGGAGTCTCCTGTTCATTCAGTAAAGCCTTACTAGCTAATGAGGCAATGAACAACAACAATGAACTACTACAGATATTGAGGAAGATGAGGGAAAGGATATTGAGAATTTATCAACATGCTTGCAAGTTAGGCTACAGCACACAGGTGTTAGCTAAAGTGCTGCTTCTCTTTACAGTTGAAAGGTTGGTTAAAACCAGTTATCTCCAAATGCGTGTTTAGTAAAGACCAATACAAAAGAAGACTCCCCTGTTTCTCCCCTAGCTCTTTGTTCCGTATGCAGTTGAGAACAGAGGGTATGTGATATATAAAAGAGGAAAGAAAAAGGTATTCTTCTGCCTGGCAGTACTAGGGTCGTTGGTTCGAATCCCAGCCACGGTACCTCCTGCCTGGAGTTTGCATGTTCTCCCTGTGCCTGCGTGGGTTTCCTCCGGGTGCTCCGGTTTCATCCCACACTCCAAAGACATGCTGCTAGGTTAATTGGCTATTGTCTAAATTGTCCCTAGTATGTGTATGTATGAATGTAAGTTAGGGACCTTAGATTGTATGTCCCTTGAGGGTTAGGGACTGATGGGAATGTACAATATATATTATTATTATTATACAGTATTTATATAGCGCCAAAGGGTTTGCTCAGCGCTGTACAATAGCAAGGGGGACAGAACATGAGATAAAACTGTAACAATACAATACACGAGGGGTTCGAGGGCCCTGCTCTTTCGAGCTTACAATCTAGGAGGGAGGGGAAAGTGGTACAGGAGGAAGTGGCTGTGGGGGATGGAGTGGTGGGAGAAGTGGAGGAGATCAGTTGTTAGGTGAGGGTGGGGTAGGCTTTCCTGAAGAGATGGGTTTTCAGGGTGCGCCTGAAGGTGAGGAGGGTAGATGACAGTCTGATGAATTGGGGTAGGGAGTTCCAGAGGATGGGGGGGGGGGGGGGAAGTCCTGCAGTCTGGCGTGGGAGGAGGAGACCAGGGAGCTAGAGAGTAGGAGGTCCTGTGAGGAGCGAAGGGCACGGGTATTGTGGTATTTGGGTATCAGGTCAGTTAGGTAGTTTGGGGCGGCGTTGTGAATGGCTTTGTAGGTCAGAGTTAGTAATTTTGAATTTGATGCGCTGGGCAATCGGGAGCCAGTGAAGGGATAGGCAGAGGGGGGTGGCAGATGTGAAGCGGTTGGTGAGGTAGATGAGTCTCGCTGCTGACTGTAATCAACTTTTTTTTGGCAGGGATGTTTTTTGGCTGGAAAAAAACCATAGGACTAGTGGGTTTCTAGAGGAGTTTTTTAAGCTGTAAAAACTCTCGAACACTGAAAAATGCGTTTAAAACGCCGCAAACCAATGCTTTTGGACATCTAAAAAATGCAAATGCAGAAAAACGTCGCTTATTGTGGCTAAACGCTCATGCAAAAACACTGAAAAACTCACTTTTTTAACGTAACTTTACACAGCTAACATTACCAGCGATATTAACCACTTGCCCTCCTGAGGATTTACCCCCCTTAATGACCAGGCTTCTTTTTGCTACTCGGCGCTACACTAATTCAACTGATAATTGCGCGGTCATGCAATGCTGCACCCAAACGAAATTTACGTCCTTTTTTTCACACTAATAGAGCTTTCTTTCGATGGTATTTGATCACCTGTGTGCTTTTTATTTTTCATGCTTTAAACAAAAAAAGACCGAAAATTTTGAAGAAAAACTATTTTTTACTTCAGCTATAAAAAATATATAGTAAATTCAAAGTTGGTTATAAATTTAGGCCAAAATGTATTCTGCTCATGTTTTTGGTAAAAAAAAAATCCCAATAAGTGTATATTGATTGCTTTGTGTGAAAGTTATAGCGCCTACAAACTATGGTATAGATACTGCAATTTATGCCATTTTTTTGCTATAAAGCACTGCGCTAGTTTAACGGACAATTGCGCGGGTCATGCAATATGGTACATAAATTAAATTTATGTCCTTTTTTTTCACACAAATAGAGCTTTCTTTCGATGGTATTTGATCGCCTGTGCGGTTTTTTATTTTTTGCGCTACAAAAAAAAAAGGTTGACAATTTTGAGAAAAAAAAACAATATTTTGGACTTTTTGCTATAAAGCATGTCCAGTAAAAAAAAATGTAAAAATCAAATTTCGTCATAAATTTTGGCCAAAATGCATTTTGCAACATGTCTTTGCTAAAAAGAAAACCCAATACGTGTAAATTAATTGGTTTATGTGAAAGTTATAGCGTTTACAAATGGCGGGAAAGATACTCGGATTTTTAATTTTTTTTTTATACTAATAATGGCGGCGATCAGCGACTTATGGCGGCTATCAGCTACTTATCGTAGGACTGCGGTGGACATTCTGACTTGAGGTCACTGACATCCCCAGTGACACCAATACAGTGATCAGTGCAAAAAAAACAAAAAAAAAACACTGACATTGTACTAATGGCACTGGGGAGGAAAGGGTTAACTTTTTTATTCACTGAAAGGGTTAACTGTGTGAGGGGAGTGTTTTACTAGGGGGCGGGGATGTGCACTGCACAGGGACATGCTGATCGGCAGAGAGAAACTCTTTTCTCCCGATCAGCGTGTCAGGGAACTGACAGAAAGCAGAGCTACTGCAGCCCTGCTCTCTGTCCGTGATTGCCGCTAATCGGCGGGACACAGCCGGTAATGACCGGCCATGACCTGGCGACTGACACCCGCGGTGCAGGTAGGGCGGCGGTGCGCCTTGTGCGCGCCCCCTACCTGTTTTGCAAAAGCGCGTTTTAAAACATGCTTTTGCCCAGCCGTGCCGCCCTGCCGCCGTATTTCTACAGTGGCTGGGCGGCAAGTGGTTAAAACACCCCGTGTACATGGAGCCTAACAAATGTTACCTTTCATTTTACTAATTTAAAAAGAACGGATCATTTTACAAGGTGAGGTTTCACATATACTCTGGCTTCCACAAACCACCTTTTTTGTGTATGTCCTCTTTTTAAGAAGAATAATTCCTCTAGGTAATACAAGTCCTCATGCACACTGGGCATTTTTACAGCTGCTGCTTTTGCTTTTTTTCTACAGCCAGCAAACTCTCCAGCATGTTATCCTATGTGTCCATGCACACATAGGCTGTAATCAGCAATTTTTGGCTGAAAAAAAAAACCCAGTACTAGTGAGTTTTCTAGCTGTAAAAACACTCTAATGCTGAAAAACTCAGTAAAATGCGGCAAACCAGTGTTTTTGGACTTTTTTTTTTTTTTTTTTTTTTTTTTTAGCAAAGAAACGCTGCTAAACGCGAATTAAAAAAACTGCTGAAAAACTCATTTTAACTTTACACAGCTAACACTACCAGCATTAATAAAACACCCGGTGTGCATGGTGCCTAAAGGTTAATACTATCTGCTTGATATAATTTCTTCCCCAATGATGGATAATTCTTTAACCAATGCTTTCTAGTGCAGTTTATTCTGCGCTGAAGTGCGTTAGCAGCTCATTT